GGCGCGGCCGCGCCGTGCCGCCATCTTGGGAAGGTCGAGGAGGAGAGCGCATGCGCCGGAGGATACGCTGTGCGGGGAGGCGTAGCGCCCCCTGGCGGGAGGGAGGAGGCTGGGGCAGCATGAGGGGTGGCCGCGGGGCGCCACAGGGTGTCTGGGGGTGCAGGGGGGTGACATGGCATGGAGGGCGTATAAGGGGTCCTGGGGGTGACATGCAGGCTGGGATGGAGGGTGAATAGGGGTTCTCAGGGGTGGCCTGGGTGTGACATGCAGGGGGAGTGGCCTGGAGGGTGGGTGGCAGTGCCTGGAGGTGCCATGGAAGGTGGCGTAGGGGTGACATGGCTGTGGCATGGATGGTGGGCTGGAGGGTGTGTGGATGTGCCCGGGGGTGGCATAGGGGTGTATGGGGGTGACGGTGGCATGGGGGTGTATCAGGGTGTCATGCAGGGCAGCATGGAGGGTGTACAGGGGTACCTGGGGGTGGCATGGAAGGTGGCTGTGGCATGGAGGGTGACATGAAAACTGGCAAGGGAACAGGTGTGAACATGTGCGCATCGAGCATGTGGAGTTTCGGAGCAGCACCCACAGCCCTGGGCAGCTGGGGCCACCGGCTCAGCCCCAGGACCTTCCCTGAATTGTCCCCATGTCCCCCACCTTAGAGGCTAACAGCCGCTAACTTCAGGTGCTGCTGCCCGCCAGCTCTGCCATGCCCCATCCTTCCAACCTGCTTGTGCCCCAACCCCACTATTGATTTATGAACTGCCAAAAAAACCCAAACCCCAAAGCATCCCATAAACCAGTCCTCCCCCTTTCACCAGAAATTAAATTGCAATCAATGGGAAAAAAATCCCTAAATCCTGAACCCCTCCAGCAGCACAAGCAGCCTCCCAGCTCCTTGTACGGAGGAAAACCTTGAGGCCAGCCTTGCTTCACAGCAGGCAGCTGAGGCTGGGCTGCCTGCCGAGGGTACCCACAGCCCAGCACCAGTAGTAAATACCTGGCATTTGGGTTTTTTCTCTGCTCACCCCTTTCAAGAAGAAAAAGGAGGAAGAAGCCTTTCCCCATAAATTCCAGGGAGAAAGCAAAATAGCAATGGGGAAGAGGAAAAAGCTTCAACAATTTATGGCCAAGCATCAGGTACAGCAGTAGACCTAGAAGCTCAGATGGTGCTTTTCACCATCCAAATTTTTCTTTAAAATCACCTTCCCCAGCCTTCCCCTGCCCCACAGCACTAACCTTGCTTTGTCCCCACACAGGGATGCTGCCCATGCCAGGCAGACCCCTGCCTGCTGCCCAGCTAAACTTGCCCAAAGCCATCTCTCCAGGCTCTTCTTCCTTCTCACCAACTGTCAGGTTTTGGCACACATAGTTCCCCCCAGACTGGCTCTTGCAGGTTCTGGGTTTGCAGCCTCAGAGACAGGCACAGAAACCCCCTTCCACCTGCTCCAGCAAAGCCAGATCCAGGTAACGACTCTGCATGGTGCTGGGGAGGCGGTGGGGTGCATTCATGTCAGTAGGAAATGAACAATGAGGCATGAAAATGCTTTGAAGAGACCCTGTTTCAAATGTATCAATTAATTTAGTCGTAATTCAGGGCAAACAGGCCACCACGGGCACTGGCAGTGCTTTTTCCAGCTCTCCAGCTATGAGAGGATCAAGCAGCCATCACCATGCTCCTCTGGGACTAGGACACAGGATGCTTTAATTAGAAAACAGACTTTTTTTGTGCATCTCTAGAGGGAAGTTTTGCTGCTCCGGGGAAACAGCACAGCAGCATCTTACTCTCACTGGTCCCCACAGATGTCCCATCCCATCCCACCGGGAGAAGCAGGTGGCTCCAACACCCCGGAGCAAAGCACCAAAGCCAAAATTGCCACAGTGGCTGCTGCCTGTGCCCTGGGCAGGGGAGCTGAGGCCGGCAGCGATCAGAGGAGAGCAGCTCCAATTAACCAGGCAAGCAGACGCCTGTAGGTCTCTCAGTGGCAGGCAGGTACGGCCCAGCAGCCTCACCACTCTGGCAGGCACTGGCCCCACTCCTCCAGCCACTGTGGGACCACAGCAGCAGTGCCACCCCAAACACCTCCTCCATTTTGCTTGCACAGAACAGTAGGCACATATCAATACTCTTATAAGAAAAGGGGCACATTTCCTCTCCCTTGCAGTCAGGGCTACAGGGACACTATTTTATTGCAGCTTAAGAACATGACAGTGGAAACAAGAAGCTTTGGTCCCAAGTCACTGCATAACACCATCTACCACAGGCTTGTGTCCAGCACACGCAGGAAAAAAGTCAAATAGCTCTGCCTTTTCCCTTTTTAGCTTGCTTTTAGTCATCAGAGCATCAGCAAACAGCAACCCTGCCACCCAAGTGCCAGTAAGGGACAGCCCTGCCTGACTGTGGGAAAAACCACATAGGATGCCCTGTGCTGGACCACAGTCCAAAGTCAGGGCAGCTGCGTGGACCCCAGCTCCGGTCTGCATCTCCATTTACACTGAGGAAGCACCTGCCTCAGATTCATTTTACCTAGTGAAATCTGACCGTTTCCAGATGCCGTATCAGCCTTGTCAGCAATGAGAAGGTGCACACAGCCAAGCCAGAGCCCTTTGTGTGAACCCATGGGCACAAACAAAGGATTTTCACAGGCACTTGTTTCAGCTGCATGTTCAGGCATTGCTTTATCACAGTTCTAAATACACAGTTTTGGATCCAAGAAATAAAATTCAATAAACACTTTGCAATTCATCAGTTCTAGCACTTTAATATTAAAGAAGTGATACCTGGCTCTGGCACCCATGATCTCCTTACAGGGCACGGAGTACAACCAGACTTCAACTACCAACTCCCTTCTTCCTAGGTGGCCTAGAGGAGAAATGCATAAATGCCCTGATGAACAGATCCAGGGTAGAAGAGGAGGTTCTGCTTCCTGGAAAGATTTTCCTCTTCAGCTTAAGCTACCTATCACATCACCTCCCAGTGCATCTGAGGAAGCAAAGCCCTGAAACATTTTGAAGAGTCAAACCCCCCAGAGCAGAGAGGAAGAAGCTGCCATTCCCCTCTTGCATGGAGCAAAGCCCTTGAGATATCTTCAAGACCTGGGGACTCAAGGGTACTAAGTAGAACCTTCTACAACCCATCAACGCTATAAGAACAGAGCAGCATCCAGCAGCTTGTTATGAACCTGCAGCATGTAACATTTGTGCAATACCTCCGCTAGCAGAGCAGTACATGTAGCTGCAGGGATGGACACAGGGCACCAGAGCTTGCTGCAAGCTGGACTTGAACACCACATCACCTCAGTCCTCACCTTCTGCTCAGCCTGCAGCTAGAGACCAAAGTTGGAGAGCTTGGAGAAAGGGAAAACTCCTCTCAAAGGACAGTGACATGCAATGGAAACCTGAAATACAGGTCCTCAGTATTAAAGGGCAGCTCTAAGCAGAGACGGATCAGTGGGCTCCAGGCTAGTGGATAGCATCTGGGAAGCTGCAGCGGGAGGCAAATTGCTCCCAGTGCAATAGTTGCCTCTGACACAGCCTTCCTGAAGGACCAGCACTTACACAGCAGCTCCTGCGTCCAGACCCCAGTGCTTCCGCGGCAGGGGTGGAGTAGCACACACAGGGGTGACAGTGACCCACCTTTCCCCAGACAGTGTCCTTCTCTGCTTGAAGGATCTCCCCTCACACAGGGATGGTTTTGTGGGCAGAAGGGCAAAACACCTCTTGAATCTTTTTTCAGAGCTGTGTCTGCCATTCCAAGTCAAGCTTAGAAATTTCAGCACAAGCACTAAGACCCAGCTGGATTTGGTGGTAATATCCTGCCCTCCAGCAGCTTAATATAGTTAAAGTTTCTGGCTCTGCTTTCCACCCAGAAAACATGCCCAGGAGCTCCAATACATTTCTGCAGGGCCTTAAGAAGCTATTGAAAAAAGTCTACACTGTTTGCAACAGCAGCTTATGAGGGGAAAAACAAACAAAAAAAAATAAATCAAAAGGCAACAAGTACAAAGCCAGAGTGCAATTTATTGACAAGTTGCAAAAGTAAAAGACTCAGCATCTTTGCTCCTTTTGGTTTGGATGCCTGAGTTCTACCAAGATACCACCACCCACCAGCTCAGAGCCATGCAGTGCTTTATCTTCAGAAGTTGAAGTCTTGCTTCTCCACTGAGAAATCATATAGACCATCTTCACTAGTCCCAGGCTGCAGATCTGGATTTTCCTAGGAGGAAAGTTGATAGCCATCAGTTAGAGGTTCTGCATCTTAATAAGCCTAAGCTTTTTGCACCAGAGTTTGCCTGAAGCTTTTTACAGCAGCTTACTGTTTTATTCTTGTTTTAAAAGAAATTCTGCTGCTTTAACAAGCTGTTAAGGTCAGTTTGACTCTTAACAGGAAGACCCTTGGAGACCAGACCAAGACCTCCTGTTCTTTACAGCACACTGAAAATGCACTGTCCCTGCATCTCTCACACAAAAAGCAGCCAAGTCTACAGGCTCAGATGCCAGAGGCAGAAGAAAGAAGTGGCAGAACTCACTCAAATTAAATAGCCTGCTTGGAATAGCAACAAGCCAGGACTGCTTTGGAGAGATGTTCCCCCTGGCATCCAGCCCCTCAGGCAGGTGCCAGTGTGTAGGAGAGCTTCCTCCACACCCTCTCTCAGGGCATCCCGCAGACCCTCTACCAGGCAAAGGACTAAGACATTTGCTCCCTGCTGTGGCAGTTCACATCTAGACCAAGCCTCAGCTCCAAGATCTGCCAAACTGCTAAGCCTCTTCCCTGATGTTTCCCCATCTGTGAGACTAAGGCTAGAACCAAGCATGGCGTCTGTGACAGTCATGAGACTCCTGCAACTGCTAGCTTGTATCCTATCTTTTTTCCTTAAGTTTGTTGCATGAGAAGGGTCAAGTAATCCAAATGCAACCTGAGCATGGTTATCAGCTGAGTAGGAGGCTTCCATTCATAGTGACAAGCTAGCTCAGCTCAAAGGAGAAAACTTCTCCACATTTGGTATTCATATCAGCAACTGCAGTAACTCCAGCTGATGCCAGTTTAAATTCCAGCAGCAAGATGCTATCAAGGCATCCATATCTGCTGTGTATCTGTAGGAGCTTTAAGGCCTTTAAAAGCAACTGGAATGAGCTGCAAAGACTACTCTAATCACATACAGGTCTCTTCCAAAAACCTATTTCAGCATCCTTAAAGTCTGTGCTGCATGCCAGTGTGTAACAGCTTCATATTTTCAGATGAGAAGCAGCAGGAGCTCACATACCTCACCAGAGAAGTATTTCTCTATGATATTCAGTGCAGCTCGGTAGACCATGTTGTTGTCATGGGTTTGCAAGGCTTCAATTTTCTCCAGACCATCAAGCTCTTCCACCAGCAGACACAACCTTTCTGTCTCTCCCAGCTTCTCAGCTGCCTGTAACATCAGACAACCCAGCAGGAAAAAACAGCCTCACATCAGTAACAGGTCTGAGATGGTCTTTACTGTAAGACCCTGATCTTAAAAGACAAGTCAAAGGACCACAGTGCCTACCTCATCCCAGGGATACAACTGTGTCTATGAAACATCAGTTGCTGCTGGGATTACTGCCCAGTGGCTCAAACTGCCAACCAAACAAGCTAACCAAACCCTACTCAGTCACATCCACACACCAAGCAGTGGGTGTGACCTGCCACCCACTATTTCATTTGCAAAAGCCATTTCACTGGTTCAAAGGTGAACAAGGCTACAAGAAACAGGCTTTCCAGCGAGAGACACATAGATGCCAGCTGGCAGGGAACAGAGTTGAAATGCCTCCAGGACCACTTGAATTCTCTGCAGTTTTATTTCCTTGACCTTCACCTCTACCCTTCTTGGGGATTAACACAACCTCTTTTCCTTTCCAGAAGGAGACTAGTCACAGTAAGTGAAGAGGAACACTTTGGGAACTTAATCTTGTCAAGACCTTTGGACAACCCAAGTGTCCAAGTTAGACAACATGAAGTCTACATTTTACTCCTGCAAGATCAGCAGCTACTGTTCTAACCTCACAATGTGAGCATGCAGATCACCCTGCTGTTCTTTTGGAGAAGTAATGCAAAAGATGAGATCTTACCAGGAAGATATTTGAAATGGTATCCAGGATGACCAGGATAGTTTTGCTGTCTTTGGCCAAGAGCAGGTTAAGCAGAGGTTTGAGGACCCCAGAATGGACAAGCTCCACCACCTGTTCCACAGTGCCTCCTGTTGTGAAGTTGGCCACAGCCCACACACCTTCTTTCTGAGCTTTGAAGTCCCCCTGAAAGAGCAGCACAGTGAAGGTACTCCCAAGCTTTAGCATCCCTCTAAGATCAATGTGAGGCAAAGATAGCCATTCCCCTTGTATTCCATTTGGGCTGACCCACCTTCCCCAGCACTGAGTGATGGGCAGACACCCAGCAGAGCTGCCCAGAGCAGCTCCAAGCCATGTTTTCACATAGGTGTAGCGACAAATCTGAGCACACAGGCTGTTCCAAGGAGCTCAACAGCTTTGAAGCAGATTCAGGCGGGCACACACCAAGTGCTTCACAAATGAGGGATCATGGACCTCACAAACTTGGCTTCTGCAGCAGCTGTATGTGCAGTGCTGCACCCATCCCTTACCTTATCAAGCAGTTCTACCAGTGGTGGCAATAGCCCACAGGTGATGAGTTGCTGGATCTGCTGGCAAGGCCCTGCTGCAATGTTACTGAGCGTCCATGCTGCTTCCTTCTGTATAGCTGGCTTTGAATGTTGCAGGAGATGGGGCAGGACAGCCAAGACGCCAGCGTCAATAGCTGCCTGGGTCTGCTCATCAGTCCCTGTGACTACATTCCCAATAGCACGGAGAGCTGGAGTCTAGACAGAGATTAAAGGAGATGAGGAGAATCCTTACCTCAAGGGATACAAGCCAGAGAGCCCCACAAGATCCCTCACTAAGTGCTTGATCCTTCAAATAAGGAAAGCATCACAGGTGATTACTGTTGTATTTACAGACCTATCGTCCTCCTATTTTGCTCTAAGCAGCTTTACAGTCTCTATACAGTCTGTCAGCCAGAGCAAGCTGGAAGAGAGCAGTGACTTGACCAACAACCAAGTAGTGCTGCAGTCTGAGGAGAGAGCAGATCACTCTAGCTACATATAGTAAGGAGACATGCCTTCCCTCTCCTTGGATGTTTCTACATTAAGGGACCAGAGGCTGGAGATTACCAACAGTTTCTTACCATAACAATCAACTCTGGGCTGGCCATGAGTTCCACCAGTCTTTTGAGAACCCCCGTATCCACCACAATTTGGATTCGATCATTGGAGCCATCAGTCAGGTAGGAAACAGCCCAGCAAGAATCAGAAATTATGTCCTTGTCCTCATGTTCCATGAGGCAGATGAGGACTGGCAGCATCTTTCTCACTGCATCCAGTGGAGGGTAGGGATTCTTGTTCCTACAGAGGTTTGATAGTGTCCATGTGATGTTCCTCAGGAATCCAACCTGAAACATAAAGGAGGGGTAAGTTCCTCACTGCATAACAAGTGAGGAAGAGGGAGCACCCTGCTTCTGGTCCCTACAGCTCAGAAACGTTATCCAGTAGCCAGAAGCAGCCTCCTTAAGGGCTGAGGCTTATTTAAAGAAGAGAGATGAAACAGGTAAGCAACTTAGGCAGTAGATTCAACCCCTCACTCCCCAATATTAAGTTCCAATAACTTTAGCTCTAGTGGTGTGACAAGCTACTCTGACTGATAAAGGTGCCAAACAGCATATTTGCTGGGTCCTTGGACAAATTAGAGCAATCTTCAGACGCTATCAGAAATTTGTTTGTTAGCATTAATAAATATTAGCAGCTCATTGTTCTAGAGTAGGGCACCAGGAGGTTTTAAGCTGTATCATTCAGACAGTTCATCCTAGTAAGGACACTCCCAGGAGAGCAGTGGAGCTATGTTCAAAGCATCACAGCTACTAAAGGTATGTATATGTGAACTGGTGTTTTGTCACATGCCTTCCACATGACCCTCCCTAAGAGGCAAGGGTGAGCTGAACTAGGGATAGAACAAACAGAAGAGTTGGTTATTTAAAAAAAAAAAAAAAATCTTGCAATATAAACTCACAGAAGGCCTACAGGGTATTTTCTTAACACCAGCCTTAAAGGCCATACTTATACCTCCAGAAAGCATACAGCTTCCCTCACATCCAGGGATGGGAAGTCTGGAGACACTGTTACTGCTGTTACAGCCCCCAAGCACTTCTTAGTCCACCTTATGCTTCTCTGAAGGTCCTTGTCCCAGGGACCGAGAAAGCAGTGGGGCAGGGACCATTGCAGAAGGGCAGAGATAAGCCACAAATCCTGTAGTTTAGAGCTACCCAAAAAGCAGTAGGAAGAAGCCTAAGGAGCAAGTTCAGCCCTTCCACATGCATATGCAAGTTATATCGCACTGGTTTAATCCTATTCTGAGTTTGAGATGATCAAAGCTGGATAGGAAAACGAAGACTAGAAGATATCACATTGACTTGAAGTCTGTCTGTTTGGCATCCCCAGCTTTGTATATAGCTGGGAGGTAAGGTCATTACAAGCAGTTTAGAACAGGGTCTTATTAAATTATACAAACAGCTTGTTGTTTAGAAGGTAGATGTAGATCACCATTCACCCATTATCCAAGTGATTAAGAGCTGTTAAGTCAAGAAAATGAAGGTTATTTACTGGAGTTACAGGTGACACCAGAGCCAACAAGGGAGGAATCACATTGCAGTTGATAAGAGCATCTCTGTATAGAGGACCATCACCTGTACAGATGAAAAAGGGTCATTTATCACATCTGCCCAAGTCACAAGACAGTCAACATCAAATAGCAATCAGACCTGCAGGCCTAGGCCAGGTCTGGGGGACAGAGCTCATTCATTAGCCACACAATTATTTTCAGGTGGGGAGGATTTACCAGGTAGACTGGAGTGCCATCATGGCTAGTTTGTGGCAGGCTTACCAGACATAACCCATTCTGTTCTCCCTGACAACACTAGTGGGTTAGACCATCCCAGCAGGATGGAGTTTTGCACTTGGCTTTGGTCTAAATCCTCTTGCAGAACCAACACAGAATCTCAAAGGCCACCAGGCCACAGGAAGGTGGATGGACTAGATAATCTTCAAGGTCTTTTCCAACCTAGATGATTCTATGAAGGGACTGAAGGGTTAATGGTTTCAATAGGGGCAGCAGCTTGGAGACAAAGCTGCAGGGAGACAAGGCTGTCTTGAACATCATTATTTTTAGTTCCCCAGCACTGGTGTGCACAGTGACCCTCCATGTGCCCCCGGACCTGGAGACCTCTGCTTACCCGCAATGTTGCCCAGCGCCCACACAGACTGCTCGCTGATGTGCATGTGTGGGGAAGACAGGAGGGAGATGAAGGCTGTGATGGCACCTCCCTCCACCACTGCCTTGGTGTGGTTGGAGGTGCCAGAGGCGATGTTAGTCAGTGCCCAGGCTGCTTCGAACTGCAGAGGAGCATTGTCAGCACAGCTCAGGAATTCAACCAGCCTGGGGATGATGCCCAGCTCAATGATCTGATTGATGGGGGGGTCCTTCTGCCTGGACAGCATTCTCCTGCAAGAGAGGACACCACACAGCCTGCCATGAGAAACCCCATGTGGTGCCATGATAGGACCGTGACCCTGTGGCCAGGTACAAGGTTGTGGCTTGCAAGGGAAGCAGCACCTGTAAGAGATGCTTGTTCAGCATCCCAGGTCAGCAAATCCCCCTGCAGGGGAGTCGACAGAGAGAGGCTGCTGCAGCAGACACATCTAAGAAGATGCTGAAGCAACAGCAGGGTGTCTGTTAGACTGAAATACTTACACATCCTTTTAGGACCATGGCAATATTATTCCATTGCTCCCCACCTTGCAGGAGTTTGAGACAGTGAAAAAAAAAATCAACACCTGCAATTAGTTTTTACAGCCTTCATACCTGCCTCTGCCACTCCCCAGCACAGGGCCACTGGCCAGCCCCACACAGACCAGAGCTCACATTTAAAATGAGGTTTCCCAGACTGCTTTTCCAGCTAAAAACCAGAATCACCAACTCCCCACTGCTGTTTCCTGCCTCACACCAGTGTAGAAGCTTGTGCAGCTGCCAGGGAGATGGGATCATGGAACTGATCATGTCAAAGAAAGCCAGAATAAAAGCAGCACTTTCTGCTTCCCAGCCTGGTTTGCTCAGCAGCAGTCAGCACTGGCAGAGGGTAGCATGAGATGTGAGCCCACAGCTCAGAGCTGCATTAGTGCTGCACTGGTACCCCACCATGGCACGGTGTGCTGAGAGGGCACTCCAGGTGCAGGCAGCCTTGGTTTGGGCAGGCAGCAAACCAGCTCTGCACAGGATGTTAGGGAGCAAGTCATGACTTACCCCTTCAGGAAGGGTCTGCTCTGGCCTGCCTCCAGTTAACACCTTTGGAAGCAAAGCTTTCGATCTGTTCACCATGAGCAGATGTCCTCACAGCCACTGGGAACAGGACTAGTCCCCCAGCACACAGGCAGATTGCTGATGTGGCAGCTCAAGCCAGCCAAGGAAGAACCAGAAGTGATTCAGCCTCTCCTGGACCCTCAGAAGTCATCTCTGCTGGCAACTGGGTGATGATGGCACCCTGTGATCCTTCCTACCCCCACCCAGGTGGGGACAGCCCTGATCAGCACTGACACTTACAGAGCCAGGATCTCCAGCCCTTGTCCCACCCAAGCCTTTGGCACTTCATTTCTTGTGGGATCCAACACAATCTCTGCCCCAGCACAAGCACAGCAAGGGGGGAACTCTGGGAGGCACAGCCAACCCCTTGGTTTGGTTCAACCACACGGGTCCTTGCCATGGGCACTGCCCAGGACTGTGATGGAGCCAAACAAGGCACATAGGGCACAAAACAGACACCAGCTGAGGTCCCTCAGGGTCATTTGGGTTACCAGGCTTCTTCCCACTTTGCCATCTCTTCAGAGAACTCTTCAGACAGGAATAAATACCTTCTGCCCCACTGCAGCTCCATCAGCCACCTCCCTCTTAGCATGGAGCAGCAGGGCAGCATACCTGGTAGCCTGTGTGGCCTGCAGCTGCAGCTTGGTGTTGCTCCCATTCACAGCTTCAACGATTTCCTCCAAGGACAGCTCAATCTGTGTCACAGGGAATGATTCAGAGTCAGATGGCAAGCCAGGACTCCCTCCAGTTTAATCTCCAGAGTCAATCAGCCGTCTAGACCCGAGTCAGTCACCACTTCATATCTAAGCAATGTCTATTCTTTATGCAATGCAGTTTCGAGATGAGGCAGAGGAAGAGAATCCACAAAAGCCTTCGAGGCAATTAATCCTTGTAATCAAGCACTGAAAGAGTCACTGACACTCTAATGGGCCTACGAGCTCAGTAATTAACCCTCACCGCGCAGGGAGCCAGACAGGAGCTTCGCCAGCTCCCACCAAGCTGGAGCACCAGCCTGTTCTACCTGCCATCAAGAAAAGCCACACGGGACATCATCTCCATGCAAAATAACACAGAAAAAGGCTAGGCAGTCTGAAGCACTCTGACAGCCAGCATGGTGATCAGCAACAGCACTGGCTATTTAAACCCAGGTCACGTGAACTGAAGTGGTCCAAGTAGAGGATACATACTGCACAAGCTGCAGCACCCAGCACTCACCTCATTACTTTTGTCTTCTTCCAGAGAGACACTATCATCCATCAGTCTGAACAAAATACTCCTGCGCTTTAGGATCTGCTCATCCTTCTTGGCCTTTCGCAGCTCAATGTTCACCTCCACTCTCTGCCTCCGCAGGGCCTGGAGAGAAGTACACCATCCCACTGGTGTCTGCATCACCTAATTCTCCAAGGAGCTCATCTCTAACTCTCCACCCCAAGTTTCCTACCTGAGGAGTACAGAGAGCCAGTATCTGCTCTCAGGCAGCTCCTTACTGTGGCCTGGAGGGTTATGTAGGAGATAGGACAGAGTAAAAATCTCTCAGTTAGTGCCTCCCGAGGACATAGGCTGCTGGATGAACCAACAACCAGTGGGTGTTTTTAAAAGTAAATTTGCTGAACCTGAAAGGCAAACCCCTCATCTCCTCTACTGGCTTAAAGCAAGCTGACAGATCCCATGGTCTGACATCCCACACCAGCCCCCTCTCTGCAGGAATAATGGCTGCAGAGAGCTGGGCAGGCTGAGGCTGAACCATCTCCCTTGCCCAGCACATCCACCAGCACAGCTCAGTCACCCACACAAAGCTCATGTCCCCTTACCTGTGCCACCACACTCCCTGCAGCCCAGCCAGCTCCACACCACATCTCAAAAGCTAACTGAACATCCTTGCTAGCAGAGCCATCCCCCCTGCCCTTTGCTACCCCATACAGGTAGACTTAGGGCAATTAGCCTTTAGAAGCTTTCACATCAGCTCCTGCCCACAGGCAAACCCCCAGCTGGGGTCACTGTCCAAAGGGGAAGACACAGGCAAGTGGTGGAGATTGGTACTTACAGCTGCATCCTTGCCCTTGTTCTTGAACTTCTTCATCCGCTCACTGTCCTTGCCCACCACTGGCATCTTGGCAAGTTTAAGAGGAGCCAGCTGAAAGCCTTCACATGCTTTTGGGGTTCAGGACAGAGCAGGGTCAGGTCAACTGCACAGCAACATCCAGCTCCATCCACAGAGGGGCCTAGGACCCTCCACACTCCCACCAACAGCCTGTGCCACACATTTTCTCCCCCACCTCCCCAGCACAGGAGATGCTGGAGGTCCCCCACACTACACAGAGCTCAGTAGGATCCTCACACACTACAGCAAAGCCACTTCACTAAATGCAAGCACAAACTACCACTTAATATCAGGATACGAAAGTTACAGCTGGTGTTGTAATCTCATGAGGAAGCTGGACACACCACTTCTCATGGTTAAAGAAACACCACCTTCCTCCAGTTCTGATCCCATGGCTTTTAGATTTACTTAAGACACAGAGCCCAAACCTAGCAAGGCCTCCTGCCTCCAAAAAAAGATCAGTTCAAGGTCTGATGCGAGGGCAAGCAGCCACACCCAAGCCTACTCTCTCACCCCATCATGCAGCCCAGTTTAGCTTCCTGTACCAGGGTTCCCCACTGGGAAGACACAAGGCCACATGCAGTGGCATGAAGTGACCAAGCTCAACAAAGCAAAGAGTTCTGGAAACTCAGGTACTAGTAAGGATTGCCAATTAAAAAACATTAAATAGGGACAGGTAAAAATTTCTAAGCCTCTCCTAGTAATCAAAGACATACAAGTAAGCCCAAGTGCAGGCCTTCAGACAGACTGTCAGAAAAAGCAAGGCTTCCACCCAGAAGAAGCAGAGGTGGTTTCAGAGCAGCCAGACACCCCCAAAAGCCCCCTAAACCCAGGCTGAGCATAAACACACTCAGGAGCTGATCACACACAGGTGGTACAACTTCACCTTCCCTCCAGGCTTACAGCCAACACTTGGGGCTCAGAGCAGCCTCTAAGAGCTTCCCCTTATGCCCTCTTTCTGAGTTTAAGTTTCTGGTGGTTTTTATTTAGTTCTCTCTCTCCCTATTTCCTGCTCCAACAATCAAGGCTGGATACCAGCAGCATCAGCTTTTTATCCCAACACAGCAGCCAGCCACCAAGCTGCAGACCTCCCCCAACTCACAGAGGAGCCAGGATGAGCCACCTCAAGACAATTATAGCCTTAAGCCCTAAACTCAAACCTCAGGAACTGCTTCAGCCTCCCTTCTTCCCCTGTTTCCCCTCCAACTGGGGACCACAGTAATACTCCAAAAAGGTCACCTCTTCTGTGGGAGCTTCCTCCACCCCCATCTCAGCAGAGGTGTACCACAACCCACACACTGACATTAGCCAAGCAGGAGACCCAGCACTGCCTCAGAGAGGAGCATCTAACCAGCAGCCCCATACTCATCAGAGAGTGGAAGGGACCAACCCAAAACTCCAAATATGAGGAAAACTACTCACCCCAACTCTCCCTCATAGCCCCTTACCCTCAGACTGCCTCTTTTATTGCCCCCATGGAGCCTCATACCCCCTGACTCCCTCCCATGATTGGCTCTTCCAGGACAGCCTCCCCATTATTCCCATCTGTTCCCTCACTACGACCACCTGGATGCACTCAGAGGAGGATGGATGGTGATGCCTTCCCTCCTGGGCTGTCCTCCTGCCTGGGCTCTCCCGCTCATCCCTCCCACATCCTCCATACATTTACACTTTGGCCTCATTTGTGGCCAGACCCTTTGTGGGAGATGCCAGCCTGTACCTGTAGCACAGGGAACAGTCCAGGTGCTGCCTCCCCACCTGTGTGCAAGGGATGGGCAGTCCAGGGATGCCCATATTTTGTTTGGGTAGCTGGAAGGTCCTTGTGGGTGGTGATACATGCCAGGAGAGCAGCTGCCTTTGGGTAGTGATGACTGGGATGATGGAGCCAGGCAGTAGCTGAGAGGAATCAGCCAAGCGGAGGGTGCAAGTGGGATGAGCCAGGATTAAGAAATTTGGAGCAGCAGCAGGTGCTGAGCTGCTGGCTGGCACAAGCGGGAGCCCAGCGGGGCTATGGCAGAAGGTAGCATGGAGACAAACCCAGCAGGAACCGATTATCTTCATGAGCCCTTTAGATTTTGGCCAGGAGCTGCTGGGCAGCTCTTCTCACTCTACATTATGTGCTTATCACAGTCTCCATCAGCTTTTATCAAGAGATCGTTTGCATTTATGGTGCCCTAACGCCAGCTACGCGCTGATGCTCGGGCTGCTTATGCAGCTTGTCCTCCTGCCCGTGCTGCTGCGCCAGCCAACAAGGACAACAGCATCCCTGCCCTCAAAATAACCACTCACAGCAGGGCTTGGCTATGCCACTGCAGGCAGTTTTGGGGACTCTGAAGTACTGAAGGCATCCTGTTTTTTCCAAGCCCTCCAAGTCATCGCCCTTTTTAGCAAAGCCCTGTAAAACACTCTGTACACTGTTGTATGCTGAGGTGCCAGCACTGTGTGGGGAGGAGCAGTGTTTACCAAAGGGGTAGGGAAATCAGCTATTAAAATATTTAATTAAAACCTGATTTAAAATTACTTAACATCTTTTTCTGCAAGGGAGGCAGGAAGCAGAGTAATTCAGAGCAGGCGCCCAGGCTCGCTGCGAGAAGGCAGGAGCGGGTTGGTACTGGGAGGCAGGTGGGAGCAGCACCCATCACTGGGCTCTGCACCCTCCACACCCAGGGAGCACAGCCTGGGCCTTTGTACACTGCCAGCCATGTACCACAGGAGCCATTTCAAACTAAATTATATGAATTACAGGGAACTTGTTCACTGTGTGGCTGTTTCCAGTATGGATACCTATGGAAATACACTGTGAAATACTCAGGCTGCTTTAAGTCTTGGATTCCAATCCTGGTGTCACACCACTTCTCCCTTTCAAGGCAAATGAAATGAATTGTACAAAGCTTTGTGTGGAAAGTGATGAGGGGGAGGTTTGAGAGAAGACCTTCAGATAAATCTGTTGTTTGTGGGCAATAAAAAGCCAGTTGTGCTAATCCTAGATGTCATATTTTTAAGCTTCAAGTGCCACCGGTTGCATTATCTTGTTTGTTGGCTGCTTGACACAGGAAAATTACATTTCAATTGCTTTTTAATTCAACTTAATCTGGTGCAAAAGTTAGTATGCACCCTCTAATTTTGTTTTCTGAGTGGTTTGTTTCAGCTAATTCCTAATCAGCCAACACTAAATCAAAACAGACCTGGCTCAAGCTGAAATAGATGAGTCCTCGCAACCTTGCCAAGCAGTTTAATTAAATTGGCTTAAAATCACGCCCCAAGATAAGTGGGGGCAACCTCCTGCATAGGCCAACCCCCAGCATTTGCTACTTTGCCTGGAGAGCTCTCTCACCTAAGGTGCTGCAGGGTATGGATGTACAACAAGGCTGCAAGAAGTTTATCATTATCCTGGGCTGCTCTTTCCCTCTCTGCCCTTTCCATTCCTTCTCCACCTGCCAAGCACAATCAGACCCATCCTGTTCAGTGGCTGTGTCACTGCCAGTGCAGGGAAGGAGAGGATGGGGAGAGAAAAATACGTGCGAATTGATTAGTAACCCCCCTCCTCAGCCTTTGCTTCAGCCCCTGACGGCATGAGAGGTGGCACTGCCGAGCGCTCGGCCCCGCGAGCAGGCAGGGGATGAGCAGGGCTGATTTCAACCTGCACCAAGGACACGGGCAGATCGATATTTGCCCAAAGGGAAAGGGAACAACCACTGGAGGTTTTCAGCATAATAAGAGGGTATCACAGCTAATGGAGAGGAAAGGAGATAAAACCTTAAATCTACATGACAGTGTCCCCTGAGCTCAGCCTTGTGTGCTCAAGCTGAAAATCCACATCATGACAGGTATGAAAAGCTGCTGTTCCAGTTTAGAGGTTTTCTTTGTGACTGCTCTCTCCCACCCCACCACCCTTCACCCTGTGCTCCCAACAGGGCACTCAGGTTAGTTAGACTGTGACTGGTGGCAGATTTGAAAACACCAGTTTTAAGCCCCAAGATAAAAGCACTGATTTTTTCCTCCTCTGTTTTTTCACGATTCTTTAATAGGTTTACCCTCACTGCATGCAGAGAAAGGTGCTGGTCAGGAAAGATGTGAGCACGTCGCATCTCCACAGTGAGGTTAGACGAGGCAGAAAAAGCCCAGTCTCCATCAATGGGAGGTTGCACAGCCACAAAAGCTGGTCAAAGCAACCCTTCTGTGAAAGGAAAACCTCACCTGGCAGCGAGCGAGCAAAGGCAGGGATTCCTACCAACTCCCTGAACGTCTGGTCTCAGACAGCATATTTTCTCCATCAGCTCTAATGTAGTCTATTAAGTCAACATCAACAAATGAATTTTACTTATTAGTTACAGTAACACCAAGGAAATATCCATGTGCGTTCCTGAACCAGCTGCTGAGGTAACTGCTGGTGGATGCGGGGCAATTGCCAAGTGTGGCAGGGATGGAGCCTGGAAAATCCTCCTCTTTTGGTTGGGATGCATCCCCCTGGCACACGATCCCATAGGCAGGCAGCACTAACTCTGCAGCCTGCACCGGTTCCTCCCGGGAAGGCAGACATCAGGCAGCCGGTGACCTCCCCACTGCCAGCCATTAGATTCATTTCAGTCCTATTGTTCGTGCAGCAGCCACGGGTTTGAGTCGGGATCAGAGCTGCGTGTGCCAGGCACTAAACAAGCACATAATAAGTGACAGCCCCCGTCCGTTACAGTCTATCTAATCAGGACATGCAGAAGGTGGGAGAAGGGATTTATTGTTATCCCTGTCTTACTGATGAGCCAGAGGCAAAGCCAAGCACCACAGCTGGGTATTCCGAAGGCCAAGGTGCAGCTTGTTGCTTCCCCTAATTTAGTGTAGCAGCCTCAGAAAAGTGGTCCTGCTTTTCTCCCCCTCCTCTGCTTTTGTCCCCCTGCTCCTCTGTAGCTGTAGAGTGGAGCTGTGGGGATGCATCAGTCCAGACAGCTCATTCAAAGGGAAAGCAACCCATGAAAACAGAGAAAGAAGATGGTTTTCCATCACTGTGGTTAAAACAGCTCCTGCTGTGGCCATGGGATTGTTAGAGCTGGTAGACAAGGAGGAGAGGTGCCCCCGAGCACAGCATCACATCTTGCATCGCCGGCAATCAGGGCAGGTCAGGGCAAACCTGTCCCCAGCCCGGTGCCTTGTCCCTGCGGTTGTTACAGGAACCAGGGCTCTGCGATGGGGTGGCATGGAAAGGAGGGAAGCCTGTCTTAAAGGCAGTTCAATTTTCTTCCAAATACCTGGGAATTTGCCCCATTAAAGTGGGTTTGATAAATACCAACTCTGCCATGTCCCACTGCACTGTGGGACATCTCCATTCCTGTGATACTAGTTCAAGTTTGCTAGGAGTTTTTATTTGGTTGAGCAAACTGACTATTCATGCCTTCTGTGAGGTTACATGGACCAGAAAAATTGCCCCTCTGTGTGGTGCTTTTTCAAGGCAAAGTGTTCTTCAGTGCCTTTTTCCAGCCAAGAAACGGGATCACTCCCTCAGCAATGTAGGTGCTGAAAAAGGGAAGAAAAAAAATCACCTTGCTATTATACAGAAGAGATCTCTATTTATTGATAAAGAGGCCTGACAGAGCTGGGAATTCCCTGGGAATTAGGGAGAAGGCAATTGCTGTGTGGGAAGGCAGCTGGATAACACTGTGAATCGTAATACCAACTGAGGATCTCATCAGCAGGGCTGGAGCCTGTGGGAGCTGCTGCCGAGCTGACTGAGCCTGGGAGGGAGATCAGCCGACAGTGTGAGGTTGTGGGAGCTCTTTCCCACTTGCCAAACGCAGCTGCTAACGTCCATTAGGCAGCCAGTGTAAGCGGATGCCCCAGAAAACCAGCACAGCCCTGGAGGGCCTGTAACTCCACACCACGCTGAACATTAAGGAACTAATTTTAACTTCTAAGCAGCATCCTTTCTGCCAGCCACGGAGGGATTAGAGTAACAGTTTTTGAAATTATTTAAAAATAACATCAGACTTAATCATAGCTATTTATTAAATCCATTATCCTCTGTCAGTTATGGGACACTGATCTATTCAGCTGCAGAAACTATAATCACCTATGGCCAAAAATCTTTTCTTTTTTTTTTTTTTTTCCCCTAATGGGGCCCAGTAATAATTATTCCTTTAGTCCCTGTATCTGTAACTCAAGGAACTGAAACAGAGACATCTATGGTGAATTTGGGGATGAGACACAATGGAGTGATGGAGAAACCTTGGAATTATTGAAAAGACACATTATTCTGTAGAAACCACATGTGAACTTGCTCCATGGCACCTAGTAGGAAAAAGGCTGAGGAGTGGAGTATACCTTGTAGGGGAGAGAAACCCCATGCAAACACCAGAAAACCCATATAAATCATGAGGTCTTGATCCTCTGGATGCCACTTTGCTGTTAGGGAGTCCATGTGCAGCTTAATTAGATGACAAGGAGATGAACCTTCCTGTTCTCCTTGCTCTTCCTGGGGTTTCCTTGGCAGGGAGAGCTGCCAGAGGCTCCTCACCTTGCTTCAACACCTCTGATTATCACAGCTGAGGACAGCATTTCAACAGAAATTAGTGTCTTTGTTTGAAATGTGTATTTACAGGCCTTCGTTTGAAAGCCATGCTTAGGAAATGCTAAAAAGAGTATTCAACATGCATATCCCACCTGATCCTAGGAGCTGAAGATAATTTTTGCTAAGCCCTGGGGGCAATATTCATCTCTGTTTCAACTGTTTCACATCTCATACACACAGAGATTTGTTAATGAGCTTTCTGCCCCCCTTCCCCGG